AGCCCTGAATCAGACGAGTTAGTTTAGACTGCAGCTGTTTAAATCCGTTAGGAAGGATCCAAACTGGAATATATGCACTTGAATTTTAATGTGTGGTTTTCATTTCTGTACAGAAACCAGATTATTCCGTCTTAGTGTACCTTCAGCTGTGGAACGCTGCTATAGAAATAAGGTGAACAGAATGTAGGGAATTTCTTAACGGCTCAGGGAACCTGATGCAAAGATCTACCAGATCAGTTAGAGGAATGTCTGGTTTCTGATTGGCTCAGGGTTCGTTAGTTTTCTTTGCTTGTTTATAATTGGATGTAAAGCTTTTTACTGCCTTTTCTGAGTGAAGGGTTCTGTGTGAAGTGGTTGATTTTTATCGTGTTTTATGTTTAAAATGATTAAATGGAGATGATTACAAATATTTGTTTCTCATTTTTTTTTTGCATCATTGAAAGCAAATAACCAGCTAAGAGAAATCCCAGGGCTGACGACGTCTTCCTGCTGTGGTGAATCCATCATTGTTCAGACCATAGACTGTACATACGTAGACGCCTCATTGGATGCTGTCGGCAGTGAGGCCAGCATGCCTAGCGGGCGGCCATCTTGGATCAGACCACAGTTCCAACAGCTGCTGTCAGAATGAACAGGAGGCGCTTTAGATCTGTTTTTAATCACATCAAAGACGAATCAGAGATGATATTACAATAATCTCTTATATGTCACAACCCTTAAAAGACCAAAACACATTTTATAATGACCTTTCAGTTAGATTACAGATTTATTCAGATTAAAAACTACTCAGACTGGATGAGATATATGCAGTTATATAATTTGCAAATACATAATATAATAAACAGAAAGTTTTATATTAATATATTATGTTTTACAAACACATATTTCTAAAGTATATTATTCAGTATTTTTAAGGATTGCTCTTTGATATTTTATGTTAATTTAGTTATTTTTTGTCATTGTCAAGACTTTGTTGTCAAATCGTAGTGAATTAATTTATGTTGTGTCTAACTTATGTTGTCTAAACTTTTACCAAAACTCTTTTTCAAGCTTTCTTTTTTTATCATAATATATATACACACACACACACACACTATTCAATTAAAGGAACACTTTGTAATCAGAGTATAGCATCAAGTTAATTAAACTTCTGGTATATTGATCAGGTCAG